AAAGTAATAGACACTTTTCAAAGCCAGTATAATGGTTCCCATGGTCACTGAGATGGCCTGAAGACAGGTTTCTAGGGTCCTGATAGTATATCGTTTCTTGACCTTGGCGTTGGTTACCCAGGGTGTATCGAGTTTGTGAAAATGTATTAAGCTGCATCCTTACGTGCATTTTCTGTATGTATATAATAACTTCAATGAAAAGTTTAAGATAAAAGAAAAAAGTTAACAATAGTTAATAAAAGCACTTTTCTAACCAAGCACATTCAGGATATTAAGTTTAATTTCATTAAAATAATATTTCACAACTTAAATTCAAGAAACCCAGATAGGGTATTTAAAAGAAAACAGAAAAAAATAAAGAAAAGATGTCCATGATAATAAAATTTTTAGTAATGCTGGGCAAAATGGCAGACACACAGGAAACTGTTGGAAAACAATAATAATATATACACTGATTTTTCAACTTTTAAGGTACCACAAACTCTAAGATGCACTATTATTTTATGTGCCAATTAGAAAGGAAAAACCCTTCTAATCTATCTACGACATGCCACTGGTTGTAAAATAAGTTATATTTAAAATATACTGCTATTGTTTTCTAAATGCCTCTTATAATGGGTGACCAATGTATATAATTGAAAGTAAGTACTGGGGGGTGGATGGTCAGACTAGGAAAGGGTCCACATGGCAGGTGTACCCCAGGAAGGGCTCAAGGACAAAAGATGGCCCTTGAAAGGTGGAAAGTAAAGAAGTTAAAAGCTGGGAGGTGAGGTTATTCCAGGTTAAGGAAGCTTTAGAAGCAGAAGTGCAGAGGCAGCAAAGTACTCAGCACTGTGTGGAGGCAGGGAGGAGGCAGCCTAATTAGAGTGGGGAATGGAGTATTGGGAAATAACTGGAGATATTTGGATGGCAAGGTGAGGCCAGATTACAGAGGGGCTGGAATTCCAACAAAAACAATTTGGATATTGTTCAATTGGCAGTTAGGGTCGGTTTTAGAACAGGGACCAGACATGATTGAAATGATGGTTGAAGAAATTTATCTTACTGGACTGGATTGGAAAAATTAGATGCAGAGAAAGAAGAAATGATTGCAGTAACACAGGTGTGAGGTGATGAAGACCTGGGCTGGAGTGTTGACATTTGAAAGTGCATTAAATAAAAATTTCCACAATTTATCTTCGTGATGCATTCCATATGTAAAACTACACTTGATGTTATAGTAAGTACAACTTCCTAAAAAGAAACTATGTACTTGCTTTCTTTTTTTATGAAACATTTGACTTACGATTGGAAATTTGAACATGTGCTTGATATATAAATATAATACATTTTGTGCAAGTAAGAGACATGAATAAAAAGAGTTATAATCTATAAATATAGCTGGTACACGTAAAAGAGATGAATAAAACAGTTATAATGAATAAAACAGAGTTACAATGAGAAATAAAGGAGATGAATTAAAAAGTTATGAAAATATAAATCTTCTTTTCAAAACAGAATCATTCAGGCTTTATCTTCAAGTTTCTAAACACCCAGCTAAAGAATCTCTTGTGTATTTACCTACTAACCTATGTATGTTGGACGATTAATTCATTTAGATCACGAATGACTGTAAGCCATCGAGCATGTAAGTACTTGGGTACCTTTCACCTCTATCTCTATCTCCATTCCTTTTTATCCTCTAGCAGCTAGAGTCTAGCTAGTTTTTATTTCCCAACCGAACAGCCAGAACACAGAGCCTCGAGGGATTATCATCTTTATACCAAGATTAAGGCTTACAGAATGTTTAGTTAAGTGCTTTGCTTAATGAAATGGGGCAAAGTCTGTGTGGTCTTCATCAGTAAGTTATGCAAATGATGATCATCTATGTTTAGACAGAATCTCAGGTGCACAGTGAGCATTTGGACACTTTCTCAACTTCAAAAGGTAGCTTTCCAATTATTACATCCTTATGGGATGACTACAAAGCTATAAGGAGACTACTTTTAAATTAAATTCGGCATGACGTGCATGATATGAAATCATTCCCTTAAACCATCGTGCTGTGAAAACACTCTATTACCTGCATAGCCAAAGAGAAAACTGGAATCAATTTTTCCTGGAAGTTTTATGGATTGCAGGATAGAAGACTGGCTATTGCCCCTCCTTTACTCGAGTAGATATAATTAAAGGGGATCATGTGTCTGGCACTGGGAAATAAAATTAGTCATTCAAAAATCTCCTGATCGATCTAGTTATAGACATGCTTCTGTCTATAAATCTCAGTTATAGAGGAATAAGAGCTAAGCTCATACCACAAGAGACCTAATTTAGAGGACTGAAGAGTAGAACATAGCCCTTTATGGCAGTGACAGGTAGTAGAATCATTCTGGTGATTTAGAAAAAAGAAATATTTGGGGAAACTGGTCACAACTTAAAAATAAAAAAGGTGATTTTTAACAGAGCTAACAGTAAAAGACTTCTACGTACCTAATAATAACGTCAGAAAAGGATGGATTGTCCGTCCTGCTTTAATTATGTCTATAACTCTCAAGAGAGATGGTGGTAAATGCTGTTTAATGATTCTCAAAAGCTATACAATCATGATCGTGTGTACGTATACCTTTATGTAAGCAAACTATAGTTACTCTTGTTCTGTCCTGTATTTTTTGTTTGGATAGTATCTTCATATGTATGAAGCCATTTAATAATGAATCAATAAAATAAAACTCCCTAATCATTAATTTTCAACTTTGTAACATTTAAGATTTTAGGTTTTCTGTTATTTATACCTAGCCTATTCTACTATTTTATACCTAATAATTTGCATTTTTTTTCTCTGCAAAATCAGAATTGTTAGCTCTTTCAAACAACAAATGCCATTCTTTAAGCCATTTTTGGCAGAATGACCAATTATATGACACGATAAAGTAAAACAGCTCTAACTGATTGAGGTGTCATGCTCTTGTCAGTTTCCTCCATTTGATCCCCCATGGGCCCTCTATAAAACATTGTCTGCAGCACTATCTGCTTTCCAAAACAGACCACTGTTTGATTGATCAATCAGTTGATTGATTGACTTAGTAGCCTGTTTCAGATGCTCTCAAATCAATTTTGTTTCATGAGGGAGTACCAGGTTAGGACTTGCTCGCCTAAAAATAACTAATGCCTCTAGGCATTAGAAAAATCATCTATTTTTTAAACATAATCCAAAAATAGCAAAGTGTTGTGATCATAAGAGATGACAACCAGCCCTGGCGGGTTTGCTCAGTGGTTAGAGTGTCAGCCTTCTCAGGTCAAGGGCATGAAGTAGGAAAGTGGTGACTCCCAGAATAGCGGTTTTACATAAATGAAACACAATTTTATTTTTCAGTGGTAATTAATAACCCATATCAATGGTCTAAAGTTTTGTATGTTTTTTTTCAACAGGACCCTTTTGTAAAGTCAAATCTTACACAAAAATAAACAGAACAAGGTTAAAGCAGAACTGTTCCAGCAGAAGTTGGAGCTGAACCAATCTTCAGAGGCCCCAGAATCAACATTTAACATTATATTAGTTTCAGATATACAACATAATTATTTTATAATTGTACTAGAGGCTCGGTGCACAAAATTAGTGCATGGGGGGAGGGGGGTGGACGTCCCTAAGCCCAGCCTGCACCCTCTTGCAATCCGGGACCCCTCAGGGGATGTTTGACTGCTGGTTCGGACCTAAACTGGCAGTCGGACATCCCTCTCACAATTTAGGACTGCTGGCTCCTAACAATTCACCTGCCTGCCTGCCTGATCGCCCCTAACCACTCTGCCTGCCTGCCTAATCGCCCCTAACCACTCGCCTGTCTGCCTGATTGCCCTTAACCACCTCTGTCTCACCCCCCGCAGCAGCTTCGTCTGGAAGGATGTCCAGAATGACATCTGGAAGGTCGTTCAGCTGTCCAGTCTAATTAGCATATTACGCTTTTATTATTATAGATACATTGTGAAATGATCACCATAATAAATCCAGTTAACTCCCATTGCCATACAGTTTCAAATCTTTTTCCTCTTGACATGAGAGATTTTCAGATCTACTCTCAGCAACTTTCAAATATGCAACATAGTATTTACTATAGTCACCATGCTGTACATCACATCTCCATGACTTACTTATTTCATCACTGGAAATTTGTAGCTTTTAACCTCCTTCACCTATTTTGCCCACTTCTCACCCCCCATCTCTGGCAACCACCAATCTGTTCTCTGTATCTATGAGCTTGGTTTTTGTGATCGGCTTATATGGTATTTGTCTTTCTCTGTCCGCCTTATATCACTTAGCATAATGCCCTCATAGCCCATCCATGTTGTTGTAAACGGCAAGATTTCATTCATTTATGGCTGAATAATATTCCATTGTACGTATGTACGTACAGATGTATGGTTGTATGAATGAATGATATATTTTCTTTATCCATTCACCCATTGATGGGCACTTCGGTTGTTTCCTGAAGCACAATTTAAAACCCTTTAGCTGCATAACCAAAGAATAACATTATAACTAAAAAACAACTGATCCAGATGAATTAAAATAGCACAAAATGTAATGAAATTATTTTGTATTTACTGATTGATTTTCTATATTTACTATGAAATAAAAATGTCAGAGTTAATTAAAAAGCTGATTCATTTCTTTGATACCAGCAGAAGGGAAAATACATTAATTGGCTTTCTCTCCTCTCAGGTAGGGAATGACAAGCTGTGAGTGCTCCATTAGAGCTTATCGGTGAAGCTGGACTCCTAGGGTCTCTCCAGGTGGGAGTAAGCTTTGCTTCATTCCACAGTCGCATAAATCAATGCCTCTTTGGAAAGTCTTCATGGTTAACACAGCCAGCCAAGTAAGTTTATGTGCCCTTTAAAATAACATTTAAATAACTAATCTAAAACAAAAATAAGTTTAAACTTCTTGAGAAAAAGAAGTTATTGGGTCTGACAAGCCTTCATATATTTAATGAATGGTTTTCCATTAGGGTCCTAGTCTTTTCTACATCTGTTTCAGCTAGAAATTTCTCAAAGAACAGTTCTCTTGTGGAAGTCTGAACTTCAACCTCCAGACTCCATCTAAAAGAGAAAGTATCAGGAGTGAGTGAAATGAAAAAATACTAAAAGACTTATCCAAATATTTTTGAAGCTGCAAAAATACTCAGGGTAAGTTTTAGGAAAGTTGGTTTTTTATTTTTTTTAAATTGGCTATTCTTATGGCGCTTGCTCATCTGAAAATAAACTTTATTCTATTTGATACTGCAGGCTGAATTAATAAATGACATTCTATAAAATTATATATCCAACACTATGTCGTACTCTTCATTTCTAATAAAAATAGAAGACATTGTTGAAAAAAAGCAAAAACAAAACCCAGGAATCCAGGATGGGGTTACCTATTCTTGTGACATTTCTATTACTAGAAAATAACTGAAATTCAAGACAAATTATTTATTTCTTACAAAAGAGAAGAAAATTAAATTTATTAGCTTATCAAATTGGTCCTTTCATCTGATCTTTCCGTATTGATGTTATTACTTAAATACATTGCATAACACAGTATTATTTCATTAAAAAAGAGTAAAGTGTTATACATTCCTAGCTGATCCACTAACTTTCTCCACTACCACTCTACCAATACAGGTATCACTACAAAAAGTCCTGTTGTCATGTATCAATTGTCTCTTAAAAGTAAATCTGATGAACAAAAACAGATCCAGAAAAGAGAAGCATTGATCAGACTGTCAAACCTCAGAGGGAACGTAGGGGAGGGTGGGGTACGAGGAAATGATCAATGAAAGGACTTTTATACATGCATATAAGCCTAACCAATGGACACAGACACCAGGGGAGTGAGGGCATGAGTGGGGCGGGGATGGGGGATAAAGGCACATATGTAATACCTTAATCAATAAAGAAAAAAAGAAAAAAGTAAATCTGTGTGACAAATTCCTAATAGCTCTCTGATACCTCCAGATACTTATTTTTCTAAAACTACCACCTTTGGTATTGGTTATTCTATTAGGAAAACACAAATTCCAAGCAGAAGAGAAAGTGTATTTAGTGGCAAGAACAATCTGAATACTGAATGTGTGTACTGGTATGTACAAAGAAGACAATGTCAGCTAATGGACAGGCCAATTCAAATAAATTAAGAAAAGATCTGAAAGAGCTTCTGAAGGATGCCAGAATATTCCACCTCAAAATAGGCCTTTTTGGCATAAGAGTTCATTTGAATTGATTGTTTTAAGAAACAGCAGACACAGGATTAGGCTCTGACTTAAATCTGCACAACAAGTCTTACCCTTTTTCTAGCCATCTCCCCCAAATCAGCCTTTCCCAAACCTTTCTTTCTTCTGTCCTTAGCTGAAAATGGCATTATTTAAGCCTGAGTTCTAAGCCATCCTTGAGAGTTACTAATTTTTTCCCTGGGAGTATCTCCCATGTATACATGAGGCATACATGTTAATAAACTTTTGTTTGTTTTTCTCTTGTTAATCTATCTTTTGTTACAGAGTTCCAAGCTAAGAACTTAGAAGCCCTATACTTGAGGATGAAATAAAATTTAGAAGGGAGAGTTTGGATTTTTATTTTGATTTTGGATAGGGGAGACTTTATCTTTCTCTATCTAGATTCCATTCTGAGAGATCAGGTGACTAATTCAAACTTGCATTCCTAGCACTCACAGCATAGAACCTTTTAATGAACTCATTCTGTGTGTGAAATGTGTCTAAATTTTTTTTTTAGAAAATGTCTTCATTGTTTTTATTTCTTTAAAAAATATTACATACTCATTTTATAAATCAAGAAAACACATAAAAGAAAAAAATGACCGGTTGTATTATTTAGTGGTTACCATCAACATATTTGAGTATGATTTTTCCATTCTTTTTCTAGAACTACACATATATATGTAAGTAAATTAATGTATTTTTAAAACTTCAACCTTACCAGATATATAATTTTATAACTACTTGAAGTAATAATGTTATTTGTTTTACTAATTTATTGTTTATATTTATTCTATTCACTACTAATGAGTTAACTTGTTAATTTAATAAATAGCATTTGAATAAACAGTGGCCAAATTTTCACAAATGAGTTCATTAATTCCTGAAAACTTTCTTCCTAGTTACAGAAGATTTTAATGTTCAAATTTTAAATGGTTTAACCATACCATACCTTTTTTCTAAGTTTATAATTTTAAAAAGATGATAAAATAATCCAACAATGATATTCTTAAAATAAATAAAGTATTTGTGCCTATTTAAAATTATAATCAAGAATTTTGAAAGGTTTCTTTTTATTTTCTCTTTATCCATTCACTCATACCAAAACTGTTTAAATTATGTAGTAAATGACCACATAGTACATTTTTTCTTCTGGGGTCTGTAGCAAGAAAGAAAGAAAAAAGTCATTTGTTATGTTTGTCACTAAGCCAAATCATAGCCAAACTGTTACAAGGGAGTTCTCGAATGTAGCTCAGACCATCTCTCAAAAGGTTTTGCTTTCATAACCCTATTGCAATTGGCTCATTCTAGGAATGTTTAAGAAAACCTGGAAAATATATGAAGCATGCATTCTGTTTCTATTTATTTACCGGTGGTCATAAGGAAGTTCCGTAAGTAAAACTTCCCTTCTTTGACTCTTAACTCTTTCATCTCCTTTTTGCTATTGAAGAATAAGAAGCAAAAATTACACTGTCATTGATTAATGTTTTTACTTATTTTGAACCAAGTATAAATAAGGATAAATCATGATATTATTTGGCTTTTGCACAGGATATGCAACTAATATCCTCACGAAACTGCTTATACTTCAATAGATAAGCCTAATGTTTTCAAAGTTGACTGTTGGTTCCTATCATGTAGAAACACTGAAAATAAGATCTTGAGTTTTCTTCACTCTTTATGTATGAAATCCTTTAAACTTCTTTAAAAAAAATTCATGTATTCTCCAAAGAATGTCTTTAATTGGCAATTATTTCTGGCAAAGGTACAAGCCAAATCTTTTCTTGCAACTTCAAAATAATACTTATCTACTGTGTGTAGTACAAAAGTTCTGACTTTTTCTTTCATATGAATAGTAATTACATAATAGAACTCCTGCATAAGTAATTAAGAGCAGAAAATTAGGAAATTATATAAACTCTTCTATGTCTAGGGATTAACAGCAGCCAATTTCCTTGGGCTAAATTATCAAATTATCATTATTAAAAGAAAATACTAGCAGTAGGCACCTCTTTATCTAGAAAAAAAGATGTAGTAACCAGACCTCTTTCTTTTTCCCCCTTTTGTGGTAGATAAAAGACTAACCTTTGATATCTTGGGCACACAATCTCTTAGACCAGCGGTTCTCAACCTGTGGGTCGTGATCCCTTTGCGGGTGGAATGATCCTTTCACAGGGGTCGCCCAAGACCATTGGAAAACACATATGTAATTACATATTGTGCCCTAACCAGTTTGGTTCAGTGGATCGAGCATCAGCCTGCGGACTCAAGGGTCCAAGGTGTGATTCTGGTCAAGGACATGTACCTTGGTTGCGGTCACATCCCCAGTAGGGAGTGTGCAGGAGGCAGCTGATCTATGTTTCTCTCTCATCGATGTTTCTAACTATCTATCCCTCTTCCTTCCTCTCTGTAAAAAAAAATCAATAAAATCTATATATATAAAATTACATATTGTTTTTGTGATTAATCACTATGCTTTAATTATGTTCAATTTGTAACAATGAAATTGGGGGTCACCACAACATGAGGAACTGTATTAAAGGGTCGCGGCATTAGGGAGGTTGAGAACCACAGTCTTAGATGGATTGACCAACTAGCCTAAATATTCAAGAAGGTTTGCAGAAAGAAGAAACTAAGATTGCAAAATTCTTCTTCCCAAGATTCAAAATTAGATCCTGTTCAAAATACCTTGAACACATGATCTCACACACAAAATATCTTACTGTATGTGTTCCTAATAATTCCTAGATTCGATTATTGAAATGTAATTGCCTTCTTTTCAATGATTTTAAATATTTGCAAAATACCAATACAATATCTTTTTGAAACGACAGGTATAGAACCTTTTAAATGTGTTAGTTCTCTTGTTCTCTCTGAATTCTTGTAAGATCAGATATACTCTGGCATGTGTGCATGGGGGAGGAGTTTGGAGAGAGAGAGAGAGAGAGAGAGAGAGAAGAGAGAATATGGGAGGGGAGTTAAGGGAGAGGAAGGATTAGTAGAGAGAGATGCTTATTAATTGACCCTGAATATATGCTTTCTATAAACAACAACAAAACTTTAAAAGGAATCTTTAAAATTTAAATAGATAAAATATGAAAGGAAATATCCAAATAGTTGATGCCCTGTGAAAATGGCTCAGTAGAATTTTATTTGCTTCAATACTGAGGATTTTCTTGTGTTCCTTTGTGGTTCTCAGTGCGTTAACTCTAAGAGATCATGGTCAGGGACTTCAGTGGTAAACTAGTTGTTTCAGTTTTAATGATCAAGCATTGGGACATTTTTCTTTCAATTCAAATCTTTAGTTTCCATCACACTCCAGTAAAAATAAAGACCAGCTCTCTAAACGGGGGGAGAAGATCAGCTCTTTCAAGCCAGTGCCAGTTTGACTGAATTTTTTGTAAAAACTTTGAGATTGACATTACAGCTGACATCTCATACTCAAAATCAGTATTAAATTTCAGTTTCTAATCAAAATAAAGTCTGCTAGGTAAACAGGTTTTATTGCTTTTACTATTTGTTTTTGTCCTGTTGAATGCATGTAACCTATTGGCTAACATTTGCTCTTCAATAACATCTCTTTCTTTTCCTTTTGCTTCTCTTTTAAGAAGCATTCTTCTAGTCATTTAGATAAGCTTCTTTCTCCTTTCCCTCTGCATTTTTCTCAAATTCATAGACAAGTAATATAGGGGTCACATAATATGATTGTCTTATGATGGATTGTGGGACAACACTTTCATATTGAAACTTACATTTCAAAGACTGTCAAACTACAACAGGAAGGCCGGGAGGGTTGGGGGTGGGGGTGGGTAAGAGATCAACCGAAGGACTTGTATGCATGCATATAAG